AGGTGACGCAATCCGCAGATGATTACTATCAACCACCAACAAAGAAGAAACGGATGACACATCGTTAACAAATTATCCATTAACGATGCTGTTTATGCATGTAAGATAAATTGAATATAAATTTCCTATTTGACACACATTCTCATTGCAATTTATGTGCGTTTTCTTCGGTCTGCCATGCAGTAAGGCATCGACCAAGGATAATTTGATTGAATTGAATCGTATTTTCATGTTGTGCGCTTTTAAGCAAAATAGAAAAAATGAACAAGTTGAAATTTATTTATTTTAATTGGATGTGATTGAAATATTATCGATTCGATCCGCCAGTTGCGTTTTGGATCCACCTAAGTTTGAGAAATCATCCTGTTTTTCTTTACTTAGAAATAACGAATTTTTTTCTTCTCCACAGAGACGAGTACGAGCCGCTGAATAATTGGAGAAGAACCAATAGATAGAAAAAATTCTAAAAAATAAGACAGAAAAAAAATTGACCAACAGACAAGAAAATATATGTATGATAAACGCAGCAGCAACGCTAAAACACAAGAGAAAAAGAATAGACGAAAAAAACATACATTTGCTAAATGTGAACAATTCAAATGCAAACAAAGAAAAAAAAATCATACAACAAATGTAATTAAGTTATTTGAGAGTAGCTATGAATAACAATAATTTCGATGTCAAAGCTGTTTTCTTTTTCGCGTGCAGAACAAAAAAAAAATTTGAATAACAACAACAACAACAAAAAATATGTAGACTTTTACCCATTTGAAAATAGAAGTAATATAGTGTTACTGAGAGATGAATACGAACGAAATAGAGAGAAATGAATAGTGAGACACATAAAGAATGTGTGATAGTGCACATTTTCCCTAAAAATTACATGGTACAAAATGAAGAAAAAAAACTCAAACGTTTTTTTCAATGTACCACCTATTAAGGCTATTTTTTCACTATTAAATATGTGAAACAAATGTCGTATTTTTAAAATCATCTAAATGGTCTCTCATATTTTTGTTAAAAATAAAAGAAACGATTAATAATTCATTCGAATATTATATATTATTCACATTAAATTTTTCGTACCGAAATTTATTCTAAACATTTCACGTGTTAATTGTCTTCATTGTCATATCACTGCTATTGAAAATGTCCAAAGAAAATTCACGCAAATTCTTTGTTTCAAATTCAACATTCCAAGGGGTACCTATGAATCTAGACTTGAACATCTCAACATACATTCTCTGGCTAACAGAAGGCTCTTCTCGGATGAATTCTTTTTGTATAAAATAATATCGGGTAGATTGCCACACAATCTGATACGCACAACAAGACATACACCTCTATTCTACTTGAGAGCTGTCAATACCAATGTTGAAATGTACTCTTTTGTTTTGAGACTTAAAACACAGCATAATGACTATTTCAACGACATTGATCTAAATAATAATTCAATATCCACTATAAAACGTGCAATCATTCACTCGCTGCCACCAGAACAATGGACAAACCTCCGATAACACTTGCATCCTCTAATCACTCATACACATTGCTAATTAATTTAGGGGGAAACTACTCAATTTGTATATAAGAGAATACTTTTTTTCCCTCATCTTATTAATTTTAGTTTCATAAATTATCTACTGCCTTATTTTTTTTAAATCAATCAAAAATTAAAAAAAAAACAAAAATAAAAACAAAAATGAATCCAGCTATCAATTTGTAAAAGGACTTCGGGCCTGTTAATTGTAGCAATAAACTTTTTCCACAATAAAGAAATAAATATATCACAGCCGGCGACAGCAGGCGCGAGTGACGAATGCACCTCTGTGCTGAAAGTCGAACTCGCCTATATATACACGCAATTTCGAACTTTTTTCCTAAGAGGCCATCTGGTATGAATGAAGTATCGCTAGAAAGCCCCTGGCTCATAGGCCAAGAAAATGCATTCAAACTTGGGAATCGACCAACCGCCTCCATAGAAATAGCCACCTGAAAACTATGTACAATTATCAGTTTTTCCCATTTACCGGGTGTTGAACGCGGCCCGTTTATCTTAAAACATGTTTTTTCTGAGTCTACTTGTCGAGACCTTTCCAACAAGCCCAAGAACGTCGAAATTGGACCATCCGTTTATGAGTTATGACGATTTAAAAAATTTCTTTGGCGTCTCCACCAATTATTCTGAGATAATTTTTTTTCTGTCCGTCCGTCTGTCCGTATTTTTTGTCCGATCTTTTTCAAACTTTCAGGCATTGAACTATATCAAAAACTAAGACTTTTTTGTTCCGCCATTTTTTGATTTGGCCGCCATCTTGGCCTTGGCCGGCCTTTGAAAATTCAAAATATGGCCTTCTTTCCAATGATCACTGTGCCTAACCCAGTCAACCGATTTCAAACTTTTGGGTATCGTTGGAAAGGTCTTGAGGCCAGCTATTGAATGACATTTATTTCGATTTGAAAAATTGAGTTGGCATGGTCTTATGGGCAGAAACCCAAAAAAATGGTCACCTGGCCTTGCATAAATCGGCCATTTTCTCGAAAACGGCTCCGACGATTTTTTTAAAAATTCTCTGGAATTTAGCCCCAAGTTAGAGCTAAAATTTGACATATAGCTTATATCTGGGAAAACTCTGTTTTTCGAGATATAGCCATTAGAAGTTGGAAAAAACATGAAAAATCGAAAAAAATCAACTAAAACCTATTTTTGTTGCCGTCAACAATGGCAAAATCATAACCAAAGTGTTTTTGCGGTCAGATGAATAAAATTCCTTCAGATACCAGCCCCTCACCAAGCCTTTTTATTCCACGCAATCAACAAAAAACACAAAAAAGTACTTTTCATGAAAAAATCAAAATCAAAATCAAAAAAATTCGTCATGAAAAAACTAAACATGTGATAATTTCTTAGTATAAAAGCGATATGTAATTTCATCAAAACAAAATGTAATTTCATCTGTCTGTCCAAAAACCAAATTTTTTTAAACGAAAAAAAAATTGAAAATTTTTTTTTCCTCCGGCGTGCGATTCGAACTCGAGTCCACACGCTCATGAGTCTGCTTTCCCACCTACGCGCTGATTTTGCTTTATTCAAAAAGGCGACAATGCTTGGTTTTTAACTACAACATTTCAAGTTTCATTTTCTTTGGCTCAATACCCACCACTTTGTGTTTGTTTAGGGTTAGTTGGTTTTGTTGAGAAAAATAATTTCGGGTACAAAACAACTGATATCAAATAAAACAACTTCTTTCGAAGTAATTCCTCGTGACGAAAGCGAACACAAAACAGCAGATATCAATTTTAAAAAATCATTTCGGAGCGATTTAGATTTGCTTTTTTTCATTCTTCCAACTAATTTCAGAATCGCTCCGTAATGATTTTTTAAAATTGATATCTGCTGTTTTGTGTTCGCTTTCGTCACGAGGAATTACTTCGAAAGAAGTTTTTTTATTTGATAATGTAATTACACACAACATTTAATACTTTCACCATTTCCACAATTTTTTTTTGCTTCTGTTGATGGTATGCAGAAAAAAATTCCCATCGAAAACTATCACAAATGATGAAAGTGAAATGGAATCATTACGACCACTTAATCTCTCGAATGGGAATGCAATTCAGCTGCCGAAAATGCAAACTTTGTACGTGAAACGCCATCACAGTGACACGCAAATATGTTTGCCTCTGGGTATTAGGTGACAAAGCCTCGAGAAAAACATCCTGCGCAATGAGCGAGACCAACAATTAACAGAAAAAAAAACACAGTGGATATAATTGTAGTATACAGTTGAGTGACAATGGTGCTAAGCCGTGCATAACGAACATTTTTGATAGTTCAACAACTGCATTCTCCTAACCGGCGTGCAACACACCCGAAACTTGCAACGCTCCCGCTGCACACAAACACGAAACTATGAAGTGATCATTTAAATACCCAAAAAAAAAATTGTTGTTGCTGTTAATTTTCTAGTACATCAAGTGCAAGTTGCACTGTGCAACGTCACTTCATGATGTGAAAAACTCGGTTACAAGCGAAATCCATGAGCACAACAAATGTTGCTCAAGTGGTGTGGAAAAATCATGTTTCTTTTTCACCTCTTTTTTCGGAGGGATAAACGACACAATTTCAACCGAAGCTGATGCAATTGTGCATACTCAGCACAGTAGCTCGATTTTTATGTGTCTGTCTGTTGTGTATGTGTGCGTGTTGAACATTGAACAATTTAAAATTCGATTATTTCGAACGTAACGCTCGGCAAAATGATAATAATTGCTATTTCTGGATAATTCGACCCCCAAAAAAGGAATATGCAATGCACGCAACAAATTGCGATCAATTGCCACGCGGTGTGTGTTACACTGTGACGACACAACGCAGTGGTGGCCATTGTATGAAAACTACAAAAAAAAAATTGGGTGAGAAATTCTCAGCCATTTGGAAAACATTGTGCACGTAATTTTAATGAAATTCGGCTATAGAAATATTTATTTTACACCTGTGGCTTTTGTGACTTTTTCACTAGCTCATCGAACAAGTGTTGAACAAGAGCTATGAAATTCCAGCATTGACTGCCGCCTTTTTGTACCCTCCCTTTGTCGAACAGGAAAGCGTTTTTCATTGTAAACGGCATGAATGGCTGCAATAAATTTCTTACGATTTTTTGTTTGCACACAATTTTTTTCTCCTATTCGCGCGTTACTTCGTACCTTAAAAACGTGGCGATATTTCAATAAAATTGGTGTTTGTTTGAACAAATTGCCAAGAAAAAGCAATAAAAACCATCGATTGATTGAACCAAATGTGAACAATTCCGCAATCGTGCTTATGCGAACAGCGCCATAGTGTCAGAATTCAAACAAAAGTTATAGCCAATTTTGTGGTCAACAGTGCCATAGATCTTTATCGCTCGTTGACGACCAAACAAACAAGAAAAAATGGTTTTATTGCTTCCCACATTCATACCATGAACAACAAATATTTGTAGCATTTATACACTTACCGATAGCATCGTGATTTTCGCGTAATTGTTTTGTATAGATCGTCTGGCAATAGCTTCGATAGCCTTGTTAGTTCAGTGTGTTGTTTCTTCAGCTTGCTTCGCTCTTTTTGCGATCGTTTTGATAGAATCAGCTCCATCATTCATTTGGTATCGTTGTTCGCATCAAGAAACGTTAATCTCTCTTCATTTCTAGCAAATAAAAAAGTAAACAAACAAAAGAGATCAAAGAAAAAATTAGACAATAAATTATTCAAAATATAACGAAATTTAATTCGTATACGACCACAATGGCTTTGAATATTAGATTAGAATTAGGCGGACGGAAATTAAAGGAGTTTTCATTTTGTTTGAATTGTTGAAGAGAAAAAAATTTCGTCATTTTGTGAGAGACATAGAGAAAAAATATGCGTCTCATTTATTATATCTTCTATTGTTTTCGCCGCGTGGTTGCGAGCGGGAATCTGATAACGATTTCTTGTTATCATTTCCGAAGCGTCTTTTTTCCGTTCTCTCCAATTTAAACAAAAGCGAATCTTCTTATTCTTCACATTTTTTCCATCAACTTCAGATTCGCTGCGCATTCTACTGCGAGCACCGTCTTAGATATCTGGTTCTTTGGCGAAGAATGGTCGCGTTTGTCACATTCCGATTGTTCTACAATTATAGTCAATTTTTCTGTTTCGACGATTGGACTAATTTAATTCTCCTTATTATTTCACTGACGATCCTGAACAATGGGTGAGGTATACGTGCTTTTTTCCAGAAAAACGGATTTCAATAGCCATGAGCTCTCGCCGCAGTGGGTACAATTGTCATCAGATGAATTCATTCGTCGAATAATTCTGTATTGAGAGGAACGCTAACCGCGAAGGACATCTCAAACACTCTACTAATTTAAGCAATTTGTCCATGACCAGGGTAAATTAAAATTCGTCAAGACATTCCGTCGACGGATCCGGGATAATGACAAATCTCAAATAAAAGACACGTGCTTTTTGTACCTTTTTCTTCCTCTTATTTTCAAAGCTGTGTTTTTATTATATATTTTTTTTCGTGTCCCGTGTCGTTTTATAATTTAGAGAAAACTTTCCTAATTGGATTCAATTTGGTCGTCTTTTTTCTGAATAATGAAGGAAATATGACAAAATTAAATCAAATTAGAAAATTATCTTTTAAATCATGAAACGAGATACTGAAATTATGATGAAAAAAACCACTCGTCATACAAGAGGAGAAAGAAGATGGAATAAAGTCCTTCCACATAAATCTGGAGCATCCTCTCAACAATGACAACTACAACACTCAGCACAATAATTTGAGGAGAATGACATGAAAACATGAGTCTCTTGTTGAACACAGAGCAATCTGAATACACCAGGTCGCGTTCATTTTGTACGCAAGTCGTATCAAACATACATGGTTTCGGTCGAAGAAAGCGAAGAGTGAAAAAAAATGCGAAAAGAAGATTGTGTATACATTTTGTCATTTATTTATCATAAAATAAGTAAGAAAATGCTGTTATTTATCGTAGTCTTGGCTCTCGAGATCCGGTGTCTAGTGTGCTCATCATAACCATTTCAGCTGTATTTTTCACAGCCGATGGGAAAATTCAATGCTCGTATCTCGCTGGCAGAAATATCGTGTGTCATCTGAAAGCGAATAAATAGATACGTGTGCAAAATTTCATTGAGTTGCCGGCCGTCATGCAGCGGCAGCGAACAAACCAGCACAAGCGCTTCTTCGTATATCCCAACAAAATGTGCAGCACAATGGGAAATGAACGAAAAGCATTGCGAGATATAATAACAGTGATACATTTATATGATCGTCTTTACTGGAAATTTATGTGCAGCAAATATTAAACCGGGAGAATAATACCTGTGCACCACCGCCGCCGCCACCGCCGCCGCTCAGACATGAAACGGACGACAAAAGTGCTGCATATTATTTTCTTATTTAATATATTTTTTGTGTTGATGTTCAACCGTTTCATGAGTAGCTGCCATGTCAGTGTGTGTGCGAGCTGATTATACATTGTTTGCTCCTGTGCAACCAAAAGCCAAACATATGAAATCTGGTTTGAAATCAGAGAGAATGTATATGTGTGTGTGTGCAGTACAAACTATGCTCGACACTTTATCGCCGGCACTGGATGCGATACTGGCAAAGTACGAAAACTTAGACTCGAGCAACACTTTTTTCAACCCACTTTTAATACCCCGAATTTACTTTGTGAACACACAGTACATGCAATCTATAAGCGCACAGTACACGCTTCGAATGCGGAACTTCACTAAAAATTCTGCATTTCTTCAGGTGATTTGGTCATAAAATAGAAAATTGGCATGTTATATTCAAACAAAACCTTATTCTACCCTATTATGACGTTGGCATAGTTTCATTTTTCCTTGGAAATAGTCATTTCTATCCGAAATCCTATAAAATATGAATATTGCAGTATACTCGTCAAAATTTGGTATTTGGTTCATTCATTAGAAAATGACAGCTCTGGATAACGGTTGAATGTTGACTACATTTTTGGATTTGTCTGTAACCTCTTTTGTTATCATCATATTGAGTTAATACCATTAATTTAACCGTATTCCCATCGGACTTTTCGGATTATTCAATTAAAATGCAACGCATACAAATTACACTAAACAGAACGAAAATGTAATTTTCTAATTTTGACCGAGAAATTCCAACTTTGGTTCATTACATGTAGTGAAAATCAACAGAATTTGGATAGATGTTGCAAAGCATTTTCAAACAATTTCATTTGAAATTTGAGAAAATATTCTTTCAATTATGCTAAAACCCAAAAATTGTTTCCCAAAGTAAATACAGTATGCTAAAACCATCAAAATTCATGCGGTTTACTGACAATTACATTAAATTGCCAATTGAAATGCGAAAATGTTGCGAATTGCATGAAACCATCACAGCAAATTGACGATCTGATAAAAAGTGCAAATAAAAAATTTAATATTCAGCAATTGTTTATTGTGTTGGAGAATGCATTATACTCAAATTTGAACAAAAAATGGTTTGAATGATAACTTTTATACGAATATTCAGGGTTTTATGTTCCAATAAACCATGATGAATGGATTTCCTTTTTTTTCAATTTCCACCAGCTATGAAAATAATAATAAAATTGGTTTTATCCGCGAGAAGAAGTGAATGCAAATCCGATTAAAAATTGAAACGTTTTCCTTTGTTTGTCTTGCCATCCATCGTCGAACTCGTGGTGTTCATTGTCAATAAAACCGCGCTCGATAATAATTATAATGGCATATCATTTACTGCGTTGTACCACAAACGCTGCAAATATTCGATTTAATTACCACTTTCACTTTTATTAAATAAGCGGTCATTATGAATGCGACACGGACGCTTCAGTTTGCCAATGGTGTGCAGGTGCTTGCACGGTTTATCAGTTGATTGTCGTGCAGTTAACACGTGTCAAAACATGATGATTACATTGTAAACTTGGGCTTGATTTTGAGTAGCTATTTATTGAAATGGTTGTTGTAATTACGCCAATTGAAATACAAGTGCTTGACGATCGACGCAGCCAACGATGATGACTTACGGTTAACCGTAAAAACATCAAAAGATGTTCATCAACAACAACGACAACGTCAACATAATGGCTGTTTATCGCGATGGGCTAATTGCATTTAATGTCTGTCGGTTGAAATCGCGAAGGGGCTAATAAGTCATGACGAGATGATGAATTGCTGCCGACAGACACATATTTAACGTGCTAGAATGCAAAATGGTAGCGAGGCTCAAAGGTACCGCACACGCTATTTATACTGTCGGTAAGAATGTAATGAGCCATTTATTAGAGACAGAATAAAAAAACATACACACCTTTCAGTATGGTATGCAATTGTGGTGTTTTGTTTACCTTTTTTTCAGTTCCTCTTCAATTTATTGGCGATGACCCGAATATTTTCGTATTTCGACAGCGTTTTTTCTTTTCAGCCGGAACCAATGAGCTACATGTGGTGTGTGGTCTTGAAAAGTAAACTTTTTTTCTCTCTTTTTATTTTCCATTTGCGATAACGGTATTCCATTTACTGTCTAGCCCGTTGTTGTTTCGGTTCGATCGCTGCTTGTGCCGGCCAATTGATATGGATATAATGCCGAATCATTATTGTTGCTGAGATTTACAGTGAATGTTACGATACAATTTCTACGATTTACTTCATTCTCGGAAACAACATCGTTATCTTGTGATTTAAAAAAAAGAAACGTACGTTCGTACGTACGGATAGAATGAACCACATGTTAATTAGCCAATCTGAACAATTTTGCTGTACATTTCTTCTTTGATTCGGTCGTACAATCAAAAGAATTCCATGGAAAAGTTTCTAACGGGCATCAACCGTTGATTTGGAGCTACTCTCTCTTTTTCTCTACCGCAGATAGTAAGTAAATGTAAAATTATAATTGCTGGAAATGGAACGATGGATGGTGTAATCGTTCGGTGAGTTCAACCGCAAATGACACAAATATTACTTTAACCGAAAATGGAACGCAAACAAACATAACCCAGTGTAATTTTTCAAGTTAATTTTATTCTATGGTTTCGACACATTTGAAAATCAAAGCGAGCAGAGAGAGACAGAGAAAATGTGAGTTAAAAACTTCTGAAATTGGTGAAATCAAACCGAAATTGGCTAATAAAAATGGTTTGGAAAGTCCATTTTGTTGCCAGCACACACGTATGTGGTATGTGTATATTTTCTCGTCATGCTAATCAAAGACATTCATCATAATTCATAATTTTGGATTGGAATCAATTTCCAACATGAATTTAACAAAACATTTCGAATGTAAAACGATGTGATTGATACTGGTAAACATGTGATCAGCTTTTGGTTGCGACAATGTAATCCGCATCGAATTTGAGTATTTGGCTCGGTTGTCATTGGTAAACGATATTATTACCATCGAATAAATCAGTGGATTCAACGAGTCGGTCATTTTAGGAAAAACACACACGATGATACAATATATGTATATACATAAATGTAAATCATAAAAGAAAAAAAGAGAAAAAAAAAACTGTTTCCATCATTTGAATAACGTGGCAGCAATTTGAAAACGATGCATAATCATCACTTCGATTTCGGTGCGTGCAGCACAAGGTGATCACGATCGAACGTGAAAACAAT